GAGGAAAAAAAAAAATAGGCGCGTGCATGACTCATTCAGCCTTTGTGCAGAAAGATGCGGTGCTGCTACAGACTGGCTCTATGAGGGCCAGGTTTTAGGGCTTGAATCTGAAACCAAAGCAACAGTGTTGTTATGAGCAGAAAACTGCAAGATATTAGACAAGGCATTGGAAATTCTGGGTGTCTACGCAACTGAAAGTTACATTTTCAACAGAAACCACTAATTTGGGAATCAGGATCTGTCCTAGAGGTTTCAGTGCCATCTTCAGCAATGAAATAAAATCCCTGGCTACTTTTGACATGAATTACTTTGTAGTCACCAAGTATTTTTGTAGTCAGTATGGAATAATTTTTCCCTTGTGGTTATAGGCTGGCATATCACTTTTTATTCTTCATTCTTCCCTGTGGATTGCGTGCACCTTAGTTTTTTAGAATCAAACTGTTAAAGGAATGAGTATACCTACTCTTTCCTTACCTGTGAAGAAACCTAAATGTTAAAAACATCAAAAGGAAAGAAACCATAAAGAAGCATGTATACAAGCTGGACCTCTCTGAAGACCTTTTCTTTCCCATAATTAACTGTTTTGTCGTGCAAACAAAATAACAATCTCGCAGCCAGATCCTTAACGAATGTAAAAAATCTAAAGATTTTGCTCAGCTTTAGCAAAAAATCAGTTGTTAAAATGCACATTGTTTTATCTTTTAGGTATTTTAGGTTGAGGTTTAAGGTAGGTGAAAGGCTTCTAAAGTGGTAGGAAATTAAGGATACCAGATCTGACAGAAAGAACATTCTTCTGCTAACCCATTGAATAAGTGGTTACCCAGTAGAAAAAGAATAATCTGTGAACTCTTCAGAACTATGAAAAATAAGAAAGGATATTAGAAGCACACAGTATGAAAATATAAAAGAGAGGGAAATACTTTGAAAAGTGTGTCAGTCTCTTTGTTTTTCCGAGAGAACTATGTGGTTATCTCCACAGCCCACTCAGGAGTATAGGCTGTGTATCTTCAGAAAATGTGTGGGTGAAAAGAGTAAAAATATTTGTGAGACAGATAAATTATAAGCAGAATGATAAGGCGTGTATCTTCTGTAAATGGCAGACTGTAGTGTTAAGTCCAGCAGGTGCCACCGTATAATCTAGTCTAAATTTCCATATCTAACAGGTAATGGAATTTCACCAAGTTGTGTCTATAATGAGCCACAAAATCAGTATTTTACTGTAGCATAACTTCCAAAAAAGGCATTCATCTTAATGTGGAGATGCAAGAGATAGATGTTCCATCATTTGTTGTATATTTAAACAACCTCACTCTTAAAAGCATGTGCCTCATTTCCAGTCTTAATTTGTCTGGATTTAATTTCTAGCCATTGGTTAATTTTATCTACTTGTCTCTCCTACATTCAATGTGAAAAAAAATAGTGCATGTCAAATTAAGAAATATGTGAAAAATATGGGTGTTAGTAACAGCATTCATGCACAACATTGGACTGAGAACTGTAGTGACATGTCTGCATGTCTCCAGCATAATCTCCTGTTTTCACTCACTACATCTTTTTGAAACATGAGCATTTTGGATTGAAATTCTGCTATTTTCCTCATAAAATTGAATCTTCTTGAGCAGTTCTGAGCAGAATGCTGGCAGCTCTCATTGAATTATGGACAAATGATGAGAAGAAACAGTTTTCCCCACAACTGCCCCCCCATGATTCACCACATTTTTAGATATGGCTTGAATGAAATACAGCTGACATTTGACACGCAAAGCTTGACAGAGGCACAATCCTCTGGAAGCATGTGCATTTGTTCCTATATGTTGAGGTGAAGATTGCTCAGTTGTTTATATCCACATTTTGAAGCATGCCTATCATAACACAAATTAAATGAACAATAACAATATTAAAAACATATGCAATCATAAATAAAATGGGACCAAATATCAACGGTGACACAAAGAGCACTCCCCAGTGGGTATTATAACAGAGTCCATCCTCACACCACCCATCCTTTCAGGAAGAGCCTGGGCTTTTGAAGAGCACAGAAGGCCAACAAATGCAGCTTCTATATACTGAGTCTGGCAGTGAAATTTGTCATCAAAGACATTTTACTGACGTCCTCCATGTGCCATTAATTTGGGGATACACAGATCAAGAGATGTCACTTCAACTGCTGATGGTGTTAGGTAATGAAGGGTGAAGGTTTTAGAAGTAGGTCAAATTGCAAGTGGAGGTGCAGCAGTTTGATACAGAATGAATGATCTCATTTCTTGGAGTGGACCACAGAGGAAATCAATCTGTAATAGATGTAAAAGCTTCTGGATAGCAAAGCTGTGTAGGAAAGAGCTTGCTGAAGAGGTACACTTGCATCTAATTGAGGTATGTGTTGGGAGGGTAGTGCTATGAATGTAAGGTGTATTTAAAGGTGGGAGAAAGGGAAGGCAGACTGGCATTTGAGTGAATAATAGGGGAAAGAAGAGACAGATTCAGGCTGCCTGTTTAAATTAAAAATTTAATCTTAAAGGCTTTGGTCCTGTTTGGAATTTTTTTCATGTATTTCTGACACCCTTGAGGCAGAGTCAAAGCTCAGATCTGCAGCTCTTCTTTCTCCCTGCCTCCTCTAGAATGAAGTAGTATGATCCAGCTTAAATTAGGCATTGTTTTTTTTTCCATCCCTGTGAAAAATGAAAAAGAATTTAGATTCTTCGTGTTTAGCATATGACTTACTGTGGGCAGTGCTAAAAGTTATTAAGTTTCTCTTTAGTCAAAATATGCACTGTTTAGAACAGTGACCAGATCTTCCTCTGTCTTTATAAAATGCATACTGTAGCAAGCGCCTTAGCTTGATCAGGGAATTTGAGTGCTGTCATAATTCAGACAAGAATAATAATATAGTAGTACTGGGCATGGAACTCTAAAACCTCAGACAATGTTTGAACTGATGTGTGGTTTCAAGTGGAAACCAGTTGAAGCTGGATTATATGACACGGTTTCAGCCCCATAATCATCCTAGCTATTACCAAGTTTCTTACTGGATTATAACTTTATTTAAATTCGGTGCTCAACGTAAAATAGAGTGCTGAATCTCTCTGAAGAAGTTCTGAGGCAGATGGCCTCATCACCTGTATTCTCAATCCAGCAGAATTATTTTCCACTCTAGGTTGTAGTGTCCCCTCATTCAGTTTGAGGGTTAGTTACATTTTAGACTTACTCAAATATTCAGGAGATTTGTTGTTGACTTCAGCAGGTTTAAGACTTCAGTCTTGGAGATATAAATCTGTCCTTCCTGCTCATCAGGGCAGAATGTCTGTTGTTACTTGTAATCCCTACCTAGTGTGGTGGGAAATGTTCTCTCACATCGATGAGATGCTCAGTCTCATCTCTTGTACTTGAGTTGTGCTGCACAGGAGGTAGGATAGACTCAGCACTGATGCTTTACCAGAACAATTTACCAATAGCACACAGAGGTTAGAGTGCTTTTTCTTATGCCAGAAACACAGAGGAGGTAACAGGAGAAGCAGCCAATGCTCTGCTATTTTTTTTTCTTTTTGTTGATATTTAGACTAAGAGTGTGTTATCTTTGGTAACAAGATGTTACCCAACAAGGGCAGTTTCCAAGTCATCATCTTTTCATCTGAATTTTTAATAAGAGGTGTTGCATATCAGAAGGCTTGAGTGTAATCTCTTTGAGATTACACTGTGCCGTGCTCTCATTGCCTGAGATAGCTGGAACAGCTAACTGTAGAGAGAGACTTGCCTTCAAAGAGTTTGAACAGTTATGTGGAAGGTGACAAATGGAGGTTAGTTTAATTTAGTTTTGGGGTGTGTATGCATCCTGGGCAGCAAGGCTGTTCTCCAGGGGTGGAGAAAAAACACAGGCCAAAGTGGATCAACAGATGTCCATCTGTCTAACATAGAGATGTGAAATCTTGGAGTAATACTTCTCATTATTTGTCTACTCTTGGTCTAAAGAATGTGAAAAGATGTAGGCAAGTGGAAGCTTTAACTGTGCTTCTTTTTACTCAGTACAGAGCTCTTCTTTTCTCTGTGCATTGCTGCACAGCTAACTTAAATGGATGACTACATAAGGAAGGGTGACTCTGTTAAGTCACAGTTAAAACTTCATGGTTACATCATGTATCAGACCATTGCTGGAAGCAAAGTAAATGAATGTCCTGACTGGGTCTGGCACGTGTTAGCTTCCTATTTCATTTTTCCTGCACAAAAAGATGAGAGGAATGCAGGCCTTTATCTCACCCAGTAATAATGCACCTCAGCAAAGATTTGAATGGGCTGCAGGATTATTAGGATTGTAATGTCTTGCTTTGCTTTTCAAGTAGGATGAAACTAAATGTAATCATCTGTTGGGTTAGATGAACACAATGGGTTCTCAGCTGTAGGCTTTCATCACAGCGGTGATCTTGTATGATTTGGCCTGGCAGAGCTCTGAGCTTACAAAAATTTTGTAGGTGTCAGATGTTTGGCACTCAGAACTGAGCACTGAGAGCTGTTGTCATACTTATGTCTCCTTGCTTTCTAGTCTTTCAATTTTAGAACACTGTCACCATTTCAAGCATGTTATATTTAGAGGAGGCTAATGAAAAGCTGCTTGGCTGAGTCCAGTGTCAGTTATGTGGGCTTGAGCGATTGTCTGCTCAAACGCTGTTTTGTGCATTCTGGCAGGATCATGGTGCAGTCTAGCAGGATGTTCCTTGGCTACAGAGCTGGGCTTTTATGGTCTTGGTACTCTCTAGGAGCAAAGTGACTGCGGTGTGGCTGCTGTCTTCACTGTGATGATTTTGTCAAGTTCATTTCTGAAAAAGAAAACAAAACCAAGTTTGAAACTATGGATCTCAACTTGACAGATTATTTTCTAAACACCATATGGAGCAGCCAGTGCAGCTATGATTACTGTGCTCTGATCAGCCGCAATTTGTAATTTTTCAGTCACAGTGTCCTATGTGCTATAGCCCCTTTGTTTCCTTATCCCTAATGCTCTGTTGCAGGCTGTCCTACCAGAGGAATGATGATGATGAGGAAGAAGCCGCCAGAGAACGTCGCCGACGGGCTCGACAGGAAAGGCTGCGGCAAAAGGAAGAAGATCTATCAGGAGAAGTAACAGAGAAATCAGAAGTTAATGCCCAAAACAGGTAAATATCTGATGTTGTTTACTGACAAGTCAAGAGTAATTTTTATTCGGAGTAGAGAAGTTACCTTGAAGAAGTCTGTTTTGCTGCTTGATTTTAAGCACCAGGTTTGGCCATCCTTGCTCTGAAGACCTAATACTGTGAGGAGCACCACTGGCTGTGCCTGCAGGGTAGGGTGGGAGCATCACTGAAGCTGGGCTTGAGGTCACGCTCATGACCCATTCCCAAGGTGTCCTCAGGGCTGTCTGTGGAGCAGCACAGCTGCGGCTCATAGAGGGAAATACCTCTGATGCATCCTGCTGTCAGATTCCCTCACACATGATTGCCTTTGGCCTCACAAACCTCCACATCTTTTGTCTTACTTATAGAGGCCACAGTGTCATGAGGCCAATGCACATGGGGTTGGTGGGCACCCAGGCCTCAAGTTGCAGCTGAAACATGCCTGCAAGGCACTGAGTGTGAGCACTAGTCCTCAGCTCTCATCTGGCATTGTCTGGGTCATACAGCAATAAACAGCAGAAAAGCTTATGAAGTGAGGTGTCACTTGTCACAGGCTGAGTGGACAGAGCTGGCCTTCTAGTATCTTCATAATTTATTCAGTCTCACATAGTCACAAATAATACATCCGGATTTCCAGTAGCCATAGCACAATTGACAGAAGAGACCAGAAAGAAAAAATGTGATGTCAAGCTAATAGATACTGAGCACAAGTAGCATTCTATTAAAGAAAAGGAGAATAGATATAGATAGAAAAACAGCAAGATTTCTGATTGTAGTTTATAATATTTTTTCCATAATAGAGGAGGGGAAAAAAAGCTAGAAAGAAGGAAGAAACCTACACACAGGAGAATTAAACAGCTGAATTTTGAAGGAGTCTGCAAACCTCCAGGGACTGAGAGCATGATCCAGTCCTGATGTGTACAGGTGCTGAAAAGCATGTCTTAAACTAGGTGCTCTGCTCATTCTGTTTTATAACAGATTGTTGTTCCCATGCAGGCAATCACAGCCTCACTGCACCCTTAATTGTCAGGCTGTCTCATTATGGACTGTATCTGTGGATGTTGCTGCTGAACAGGAGTAGTTTCCTCTTGCTAGACAAGTTTACTGAAGTCAGAAAGTATCTTACTTGTGTAGCATCTTGAAAAATTTTGCATGATTGGAAGACTGTGCATAAGATATATACGCCTCAGGCTAAGCTGAGGGGCCCCTAAAGCAGGCTAAGGTCTTCCAAATATCCTGCTGCAGGATGCAGAGGGGCAGGATGAATTTTTCAGGGATGTTCATATTTCAGCTACTCCAAGTGTTAGGGACAGTTCCAGTGCCTACTGAGATCAGTAAGACTTATGGGGACTTCAGCGGCTGTTGGAGCTGGCCTAGAAGAGAACTTTTCCGGGCTCTGACATTGTGAAACACCACATTCCTATACATGTAGAAATGCCAAAATTAATCCTCGAATCATTTTGCTAAATTTTGAAGTACGCAACCCGTTGTATTTTCAAATCATAGAATGATGTTCCAGCAAGCTTTTTTTTTTCCTCTAGAAACACTGCATACATTGTTAGAAAGATTTCTTTTTTTAATGTGAAATTACTGCTTTTATGTAGTGTGGCAGAGGAGGAAACCAAGCGTACTACAACCACAGGGGGAACAGATGATGAAGCTGCATTGTTGGAGAGACTGGCAAGACGGGAGGAGAGACGCCAAAAACGTCTACAGGAAGCCCTGGAACGTCAAAAGGAATTTGACCCCACAATCACAGATGGGAACTTGTCACTGCCCAGCAGGAGAGAAGTAAACAATGTGGAAGAAAATGAGACCACAGGAAAAGAGGAAAAGGCTGAAACACGCCGAGGACGCTATGAGATTGAGGAAACAGAAACGGTTACCAAATCATACCAAAGGAACAACTGGAGGCAAGATGAGGAAGACAGTGGAAAAAAAGAAGAAAAAGACAAAGAGGAGGTACAGGAGGAGAAACCAAAGGAGGTCCCCATAGAGGAAAATCAGGTAGATGTGACTGCAGAAAAACCCACAGATAAAGAAGAGGTAGTAGAAACAAAAAAAATAGCTATAAATGCAGAGGAACACAAAGCAGAGAATGATACAAATGCTGTGCCAGAAGGGGAGCAGAGTATAACTGATGCTGTAGATAAAGAGAAGCTCAGGGATGAGGAAAAGGCTGAGGAAGAGAGGAAGAAAGCAGAAGAAAGAGAGAAACTTGAGGCAGAAGAAAGGGAGAGGTTAAAAGCAGAGGAAGAAAAGAAGGCAGCTGAGGAAAAACAGAAAGCAGAGGAGGAAAAGAGGGCAGCTGAGGAAAGAGAGAGGGCTAAGGCAGAAGAGGAAAAGAGAGCAGCTGAGGAAAGGGCTAGGGCTAAGGCAGAAGAGGAGAAAAGGGCAGCTGAGGAAAGGGCTAGGGCTAAGGCAGAAGAGGAGAAAAGGGCAGCTGAGGAAAGGGCTAGGGCTAAGGCAGAAGAGGAAAAGAGGGCAGCTGAAGAGAAGGCTAAGCTAGAAGCAGAGAAATTAAAAGAAAAACAAAAGATGGAAGAAAAGAAAATAGAAGATAAACAGGTAAAAGAGAAGAAGGTACAAGAGGAAAAACCTCAAGCAGCTTTCCTAAGAAAACAGGTACAGTAAACATTTTGCACCAAAATAAGACACCTGTGGTTTATGAGAAATGTAATGCAAGAAAAAAAAAGATTGAGCTGGAATTTTCTCACAGATCTGTTCCTGCATTGAAATGACTAATACTTGTGCTCTCTTGCTCTCTCTCTTTTAAAATAAAGCTCCTTACTTCTGCTTACCAATAATGCAGTGCACAACACGCGTGACCTCACTCCATCGTTCAAAGAAAACCTTGCATGTTCAGACCTCTGCATGGTTTTTTTGCTGCCTTTTTTTCTCAGCTGCTATAAACTCACCTAATGCAGTGACACATGAGGTGGAAGCAGACACATCTTGGCACAAAACATTGTGAACACTTGTTAAACTGTGTGAGGAATGTGCGTGTTAAATGCAATCACAAGACAGGGCTCTCTGCTGGGACATGTGAGCATGACGCTACGCAAGGGAGAAAGGCCCAGATGGGGGAATGGGAGCATTTGGAGAGGGTGGAGGGAGCACAACTGCACAAGGACATGTGGTCACAGCAGCGTATAATGGACATGTGGCTGGGCACTGGATTGCTACATGTACACAGTGTGGAGAAACAAAAGTGCAAACAGATGTGATGTTTTCATATTAAAAAAAATATTAAAAACCCAAAAACAAAGGGGGAAGAAAAAGAGGCTAAAGTGGAAGCTAAAAAGGAAAAGGAGAAGCTCCAACCTACCTTCAAAAAAGATCAGGTAACTTGTAAAGCATTGATTTAGATGTTGCAGGGAAACTTGAGATAAGAAAATAAATAAGAGACCTATATCTGAAAGTTGCTTGTTCAGCAAAGTACTTAGCATGTGCTTCACTTCAAGAATGGTAGATGATTCTGAAATAAATAGGGATGAAGCTACTTATGTGCTTAAAATGAAGTATTTTGTTATTTTGGGGCTCTGTAACCAAGTCATGTTTGTCTTAGAACAAATATTTTAGGAAACTCAGTTTGGTCAATGAATGCAAGGATGATTTGCACCCTAGGGATGAATTTTTCAAGACTGTATCAACTAATCAACCTTTTCTGGTTTCCTCCCACTTTACTGTGAACTTTTTCCCTATGACTAAGACCTACTCTTAATAATAATAATAACAACAACAATAATAATGATAATAATCTAGGCCCTTTGGCTACCTGACTGCCTCAACTAATGATTTTGCCCCAGACTGCAACGCCCCATGATAGAAACTGTGCATACCCAAGCTTCTTTTTTTGTTTTAAAGAGAAAATCTACAAAAATTACTGCATTGCATTTCCACTGTAAACACAGGAGCTGGTGCCATGGTGTTTTACTGTATGGTAAGTAAATAAGATTTGGGGACCATTTACTCTTCAGGTTACAGCTAGACACAGGGAGCCATGTTCAAGTTTGTGAAGTAACTGTGCTTTCGGTTCAGTGCAGCAGGTATCAAAATACCTCCTGATTCTTATCAGACATCATGATGAGATGGTTATGGCCTTGGAGGTTTGGACCCTTTTGGGTTCAGCCAGGTCTCTGTGGCTTAAAGGAGAGCCACAGCACAGAGATCTAGTAACAGGCTGCTTGCTGCCTTTCCAGCTGCTTGGGAGCACGGATGGCTGCAGAGGGTCTGGTCCAGGGTCTTTAGTATTTGGAGTAATTCTTATCATGCTGTAGATGCTTAGCACACCTTTGGACAGTGATGAGGGCAAATTGTGTGGCAAGGTTTTATGTCCATTTGCCTGGCTAGATCATCCAAGGTATCATACTTTGAGTAAGGTACAGGTGAGACTGAAAGGCAAATGAAGTGACGAAGATGATCAGAGGTAAAGGTTCCTAGTGAACAGGGAGAGAGATTGGCATTTCTAGAATAAGTTACTCTGGAAAGGCAAAGAGTTAAATGAGACCTAATTAAAGATGTCTCAGAATAATGCACTAGAAAAACTAAAAAAAAAAATCACTCTACTCTAAATTAACTCAATTGTAAAAGCAGAGGAGAGAGCTATGCAAAAAATAAGGGATGGATTATGTTAAGAGTTCTTCATACGACAGAATTAGCTTGTAATATTTCGTGTTGCACACAATCCTTGAATATTACAAGTAAATGTAAAAAGGAGACTGTAACTAATGACAAATATTGATTTTTGGGGCAGACCTGAGATGCAATTGTCCTGCTTGTGTTTATGTGGGGCTCAGTCAACTCTCACTGGAGCTCTCATTGTGCTTTTGAACCACAGTACAGGGCTAGATTATTACAGGAAATCAGTAAGACTTTTAAAAGTGACTTGCCATTTTAGTCCTTCCATGTTTGGGTGCTCAAGCTGAGACAATTTGAGAGAGTCCTACTTTTAGTGCAATGCTGAATACCCATCCACTGAAAGGTAGATCTTTTGCATGTGTATCAAGCTGAGCATTCCTAGTGTTTTGCTCAGTGCAAAAATCTCAGTTGTTGCTTCTTGGCTTGTGAAGAAAATTTACAATCTCAGATTCCAAACCAAGTCAAGGTCAGGCTCCCATCTCTACTTCTGCCCCACCTTCAAGGACATACAAATTCAACGAGGCCTATTTCTGAACCATATAGAAAGTCAAGAGGATGGCAGCATATAATGAACAAGATTCTGAAAGAATACTGTGTATCTACATAATCAGATTTTGCTTTTGCAGTTGTGCAACACAAGCACATGTCCTTTCTTAATGTGACCAAAATCTGGCCCTCAAAGTTCAGGTTTTGATCAAATTAGCAAGCAAAATCCATTTCCTTTTCTGAACTGCCTCACAATTTTTGGTTCTCAAAAGTGGCCTGGAAAGATCATAAGAACAAACGTTCTCATGATGCGAGACTCCTGGTATTTCCTGCTTCCAGTTTGGCGAGACATGCTGCAACAGTTGCTTTTCTCCTGGTATTTGGGTATAGTAGTTGGCTCTAAATGGATGTCCTAGACCCAGATGCCCACAACTTCTAAGTCCACAAGTAACTGAGCCTAAATAAGGAATCAAGTTTGCCAAATGGCCCCAACCTCAGTAACTGATTCACTGCAATCTGAAGGTGTTCAAAATCTAGATTTAGAAATCTCAACTCTCAAACACTAGCATGACACCCTAAGAGGAAAAAAGCAGTGTAGAGAAAGATTAAAACATAAATAAAACTGTAAATTAGCTAAACATGCTTTGGATTGTGTTCTATCTTGACTTGATGGTCAATATGCTGTGAAAGCATATAACCTGTTTTCAGTTCAGATCTACATGTCTACTTCAACTGGAGTCAGTGTAATCCTATTTACTAGATTCAACAGAAGCTGAATTAGCCTGTAATTGAGGGAAATACCGAGACTGTTGCCTGCCTTTGTAATGGGACATAATGGTTTCTGCTTCTGTCCTAACCAATCTCTGTTTTGGCATTAAAATTAGTAGGAGTATGATCGGGTCCAAAAGCTGTGAAATGTTTCTGTAATATCTTGTTTTATCATCTTTTTGAATAAAGAGGCCAGGCTATATTAAGATTTTCTCAAATGCAGACACATTACCATAAATCATACTGGCTTCTGAAATGCTATTTCGTAATCTATTAATTTTTAAACTATATTGTTTTAATATTAGTTTTCTCAGTTATTTCAGTTAAGATGTAGGAGATATGACCCTCCCCAGTGGACTTCAATACATCAGACTGCTGGAAGTATTGGCTTTTAATGAGACTTAGAGAGGTCTTGATGAAAATCTCAGCAAAGGAAATCCTATGTTCTCAAAATCCCAACACAGACATCCTGGCATGTGAAATCTTGCAACAATCAACATTGCCGGTTTCAGTATCACCCTGACTGGGACTGAAGGGCCAGGAGATCGCTAACAGGCAGCAGAGATTTTGCTGTGAACATCATCACTAGCTACAATCTCGCCTAGATTTAGGAGCACCCAAAAAATGTTACTATCTGATGGCATTCATTATGCTCAATGAATAGCCCTGGTTGTCTCAGCCCAGCTCCTAGAAAACATAAAACCGTTCCTTGAGGCTGCTAGTAATAATGACCTTGTTTGCTTGCAGTTAGAGCATCATGGCCAAAGAATGCACGGTCATGAAAACTGAACTCCCCTTTTGTCCGTCAGGACGCTTCTGCCAGGTCGTGGCTAAACCCTGTTGGCAGGAGAGGGTGGGGAAAATCTGTACTGCCGCTGCCTGCTCTCAGGGCAGAGCAAATGCCTCTGTGAGTTGTGTTCAGCATCCCTCACCAGCAGCAAATTTGCTTAAGTAGTTTAACCACCCAGTACATGTAGTGTGTGCCACCTTGGCCTTGTCCATTGTATCAGTTTCTGTGAGCAAGCAAACTGGCCTCAGGTAAAGTCAGAGGATGACTTTGAGACTTCACTCAGTAGCTTAATTCAGTGCCTTAGGAGGATCTTGACTTTAAAGATTCTGAACTCATCCTTTATTGGTAAAGATATTACATCTCCAGATTTTCTTCTTTGATGAAGAAGGATAAAAATTTTATTTGATTTGGGGACGATTGTGTGTATTGGCTTTTTATTTCAAGGTGCAGCTTGGAATGCCATAAAAGCAGTTGTGTTGCAGACAGGACTGTTACGGAAGTTCCTTATCTTTCTAGTCAGCAAATGGGATGGCAACAGGCTTCCAAGGGACAAAAGTATTTTTTTCCAAAGGTCTTTGTATGCATTTTTCACAGAAGATATTTCTTGCTTGCCAGCTAGAATCTTCCTCCAACATGGGAGAGCTGGAAAAAAAAAAAAAATATTTTGGAGGTAAATGTTACATTTGTTAAAAATTTATTTAGACTGGTAGTCTAACTAACTAAGCAGGAATAATTCTACCTGAGGATAAAGAACTTAAATCAGTCCGTATCTTCCTCCTCTTATCAGCATCTAGCCATGACTCAGCATGCTGGGATCAGGCTATCTGTGGTATTCATAAGTACTTCAAGCTCATACCCCTGAAGGAATACTGGAGAGTGAAATCCATGCAGTAAATATACTTGAGTACTATTAAGAATTACAGGAAAAACTTTGTAAGGATAGGGGGAATTTTTGCTGTAGTGTTTCTGGAGAGAACATTTGCTTCTTCATAGGATTAATTATTCATGTTGGATAATGCTATCCATGAGTAGCCCCTGGTAGGATTGTGCTTTTTGACAGAGGAAGTTTTACTCTGGCATAAAGATAATTTTGTGTTTTGGTCATTATTCTTGCAATTCTGAAGTATCCATCTGCTATGATACTGGAAAGAGCGTGAACTTTGTCAAGCACTAGTTATGTGTTATTTTTATTGCTCCAATACCCTAAACCTTGTACCAAGAGTGTATCAAGAAGTCTGGTTTGCAACCCAGAATCTTAATAGGTAACATGTGAATGATGCTGCAGCGGGAAGGAAGAGGGTTGGGGAGCCTCAGTGGGGTGCAGTTGCAGAACGAAGTGATGTGGTAGCATCGTCCTATGGCCTCAGTGAACTTTCACAGAAAACTGATAAGTTTATTAAATTCAATTTAGTCAGTATTTTCATCTTGATTTCCGATCAGGACAGCTGAGTGGTGGTTGGTCACAGTTTAGAGCTTTACAGTCTACTTCTGCCATGAAGCACATAAATGTTTTGTAGACACTTAGTTAATCATTAATACCAAGAAATCTGTGTACTTCGGCTGTTATTCAGAATGCCTCATTGTGACTTCTTTTTTGTCGTTTGCTTCTTGTTTTTTTTTTCTATGATTTATGATATCTCTGGAGCAGGTAAAAGATGACAAGGATAAAGGAAAAGCACCCAAAGACGAAATGAAAAGTATCTGGGATCGTAAGAAGGGAGTTCCTGAGCAAAAGGCACAGAACGGAGAACGTGAACTCACTGCCCCAAAACTTAAATCTACTGAGAATGCTTTTGGGTAAGTTCTAAGTAAGCACTGGGCTTGCTTATGTTATAGCAGAGCAGGGGGACAACTCTGGGTTTCTCCTTAACAGCCTTGTAGCAGCTGAGGAGAAGAATGAGTTGACAACATCAGCAGGGGCTCTAGTGTTTTGGGTTGTACGTATGAATTAAGGCTCTTGGCCTATTTTCTAATGAACTGCACCCACATTGTTGCAGTAACAAAAGAAAGAACAAAAAGTAGATGTAAATAGCCTTGCTCCCTCAGTAGAGACAAGTGGCTTATTTTTGTTCTGCTTTCCTTCCTTGAAGGCCATTTATTTCTATTATTTGCACAGAGGCCAATAATGGCAACAGCCCAGATTTTGTGTTCTCTAATTTTTTAAGTCTAATCTCAACTGAATCTCCCTGATCTTCCTTTACTGAAGAAACCTATTTCCACTTACCCACCTGCTTTTAATCAGAGTGTGCATATCAGTATGGAGCACAATCCAGTTGGTAACTCTTGAAATAGTGTCTCTCTTGATTTCAAGGCAAACCTTGAAATTAATGGCTTCTCTATAGAAGTGGTTTTTTTTTAGTTAGGTGAAAACCTCTCCTAACCAAAATGTTCTATTTTCTGTCCTTTATAAGCAGCATCACAGTTTTATTTTTATTTTTCTTTTCAAGGAAATACTTGCCTTATGTCTTTATTGGAAAATTCAATGAAGGTAATAAATTTCTAGTGAAAAGTTTATTAAAAAGGATTCTGCCTGCTAATAGGACAGGATATATAAAGCAGAGCAAAAGTTCTTCCTTTTAGCAGAAAAACAGGAAAGAACAGGTTAGAAATCTATATTTTTTTTTTTCTTTCTGCACCTCTCTTCCTCTTTTACATTGAAACAGGCAAAGGAAAGGTTAAGCTCTCCAGGCACTTTGAGAAATCTGTGCATGGCAGATGGGATTTGCTGCTGTATCTCAGCATTCCCCTTGTTATTCTTTCAGGAAAAACAAACTTTCTCAAAATAAAATGTAGTTCAACAGTCCCTGGAGACACCCAGACCAAAGGCCAAAAGACAGAGAGAGATGGAGATGGAATAGCAGGAAATTGGTCTTGCTCAGAACTGTCCTGCTTCATGACTTGGGTCACATCATCAATAACATGAAAATGTTTTTCTAAAAATATTTTTGTTGTGTTTTCATTTGCTTTACTTCCTGTGGGATACAGGCCTTAGTGGCAACATGTAGATTTCAGTTTCCACTCCTTTTTTTCTTTTTCTGTTTTTCTTCTCTTTCCCAAATGTGGGAAGAAGCCTGTTCAACAGCCTTTTATCAGCTGAGTAGAAGACTTGGATTTGCAAAATCAGCAGAGGTTCTAGTGTTTGTTGAGTTGCTAGGTATGAATTAAGGCTCTTGGCCTGTTTTCTAATGAACTGCCCCCACATTGTTGGGTTTTGTTTGGGACTATCTTTCTTCTTGTTTGTACATGAACATATCAGATGCTAGTCAAGAAGCGTGTGACTTGGCTAACTGAGAATAAAATAAGGTACTGGAGGCTAAAGAAAAACCTTATCTGTGTTTTGTTTGTCTACATCAGCCATTAAGAGAAATATAGAATAAAACCCCATTTCATGGCTTCCCCTTCCCATCTCCCCTTCCAACTGCCTTCCTCCCTATTTTAGGACTGCAAAAGTCCTAAATATGGTGTAACATGTTTTTTTCACATTGTTCTGACATTTTTGGCTCCCACAAGCCACTTCTTTCCCTTTCCTCCTTGTCTGAAAGCTGGCGACTAACTTCATTTCTTAGCACTAAAGAGGTGCTTACTAAGCTCTTCCTCCACTCAGCATCTCAATATTCATTTCCCAATGTCCCAGAATCTGTTGAAGACAGAGGACTTTGGGAGGTGGAAGAAAAATAAGGAGAATTACTGTCAATTTATTTGTTTTATTTCAGATTATGCAGAACCAGTAGGAGAAGTTCTGCATAAGAATAAAATAAGCTAGAAACTTTAAATGTCCTGTCTTGTAAGGAGGACAAAATAGTCACCTGAAATCTCAAAACAAAAATGTTAAGATTGGATTCTACCTTCGGCTTTTATCAGTTTAAAGCTGAAAGTAGCTGTTAATTTCATTGAGGCTATCAGCACTGAAGTCCCTGAGGACTAACCTTTATTCTGTGCTAATATAAAACAGAGTTACTATTTATTGTAAGAATCTCGGTAACTATTGTGTTCTTAGTTCTCTTAATTCTGAGGGCTGAGTATTTGCCCTTGCCAAGATATCATTATGTCTATCAGAAGTGATCTCTTTCATCTTCTTTGGGTCCAAAGCTTGCAGGCCTGGGTGGGCTGGCAACACAGACCTCAGAGACCAAGAGGCAAAAAAGTAAAAAAAATAAAAAAATAAAAAAAAATAATAAAAAAGATACCTGGGATGTTTGCTATAGAGGCTACAACCTTGCAATGATGCAAGGAATTAGTTATGGCTTTCTATTGCTTTGTTTTGTGTATGAAGTATAACATGCTTTTGGAAGTGTTTCCTCTGTACACAAACTACAGAGCAGAGATGTGAAACTGCAACAGTTTACTGTATACTATAAAGATGGTGAAAAGATATGATACCTCTTGCTGAAGTTACATGAGATGTTAAATAGATCAAGCTCAGTTACTGAGTTATCATAAAAATGAAGGTGGCCTGAGTTCTCAGGCAGGGAGGTGCAGCTCCTGTGCACACAAGCACTTGCAAGACTCCTTCCTCAGTGGCAGCAGATGGGAGATGTGGTCCTTGTAGTATCCCAGCCTACTAACTCCTGATGAAAATGTTTGGGGCCTGACACAGTTTGCAAGAAGCAAAAGGTCTTATAAGACAATATCTTTGACTCTCAGGCTCTCACGTTGATGGTGAGCACATGGCAGCAGGTGGCTCTGGCCAGGACGTGAAAACCCACGGTGCATCACCTTCCTTTTCATTTCTTTGCCAGCCGCTCCAATTTGAAAGGGACCACAAATGCTGAGGATTTTGAGAAGCTGAAGGAGAAGCAGCAGGAGGCAGCAGCAGAGCTGGATGAACTGAAGAAAAGGCGGGAGGAGCGCCGGAAAATCCTGGAGGAAGAGGAACAGAAGAAGAAACAGGAGGAGGCTGAGAGAAAAGCCAAAGAGGAGGTAAGTGTAAAACATGACGAATTGGACTCTGTTCTTATTTCCCTTATTGTTACCACTTTACTTCCACTGGCCTTGCATTAGTCAATAACTCTTTACAGCAGTGTCTGCACAGACACTTTTAGGCAAAGAAATTGGTGGGGCTGGAGGCTGATGGCTCTGTATTCAACAAAAGGGTAGAATGAGGCCATGGGAGACTGGCACATAGGTGAGGAAGGAGTGTGTAACAAGGCAGGCAAGACCAAACCCAAGCATAAAGGCCAAAGTGCTCTTTTCCTTCTTGGACTTGATGTTGCCGTGTTGGGAATTGCTGTTGTGATCCTCTGGGTTGTGTGCTCTTCTGGGCATCATTATTTCTTAGTATCTGTCAAGAGATGGTCTGTCACAACAGACCTTGATTTCAAATATGCTATCCAGTGTTAAATCACCCCAGTTTCTAGCCTTCAAATTCAACTGCAAGTATTCTGTATTTGATATCAAGTGACCACATGACATAGATGCTCTAGTTGAGAACCCGAGGTAAAACATGCAGTCACCCAGGGTAGAAAGAAATGTTACGGTTCTGGCCTCAGGAAAGATAGGGCTTTAATAAATGTCTTCACAAGTCAGGATTTCATTTGTAGTGGTTGTGAATTTCTTATCTTCTTGGGATGCAAAATGTTTGGGGCAGTGTTATAGCCACAGAGTTTTTCATTTATTTGAGGTGTCTTCTTGACACTACACAAATTAAATTACAAAGCACATATCAAAATTTGTCTGCTCCAGATGAGCTGGAATGCTAGTGTTATATATAGTTACCATGGGCTAGATCTCATTAGAAAGATATTCTTGTCTATTTAAATATTGACTACCCAAGTACATCTGTTTACTTGTATTTCCTCTACCAAGGGACTCTATAAATAGGATTTCCAAATCTCTGGTGCATCATTTAGGAATCTTAGTTTTTTGGAAAACAAATGGTAGATGAATAACAATAGTGTTTGGCAGCTGAATGCCAAGTGCTTTAATATACTAAGCTCTTTACAGTAGAACTCAATATATGCTGAGAATGCACAGTACCATGCTGGTCAGACCCTGCTGACCACCGCTCACAGTATTACGCTTCAAGGGCTTCTGGTTTGACTTGTAGCTTATGAAGTAAAAACTCGTGTTACATCTTTGGAGGGAAAATTGTAAGCATTTAATCTTCACCTTTTTGGTCACCTATTTATTTTTTCCTTGTGAAGTATTAACCTTGGCACTGCAAGTACCAGCATAGATGGACGGAAGTAGAGTAAGAAAATGATATGTGATGACACAGAGAAACTGAATTTGAGTATTTTTATAAATGTGCTTTTTTTCTCTCTTTAACCTTCCCTATTTGGCAATAAATCTGGTGACCTCACTATGCAAAGACACTAAAGCAGCACAGACTAGCTGTCTTCCCTGCTTCCTTGACACTGTGATGGATTAGCAACAATATGTTGCTAGATTTCAGATAGGTCACTGAACTTTCTTCAACTGGCCTAAAAATCTGTTCTTTGAAAATCTGTAAAATGTCTGCAGGACTGCAAAACCCTGTAATGGTGATGTAGTTTCTGAAAGTATAAATGACCATTCATATTTTTTAAGGAGGAAAAGAGGAGGATGAAGGAAGAAATTGAAAGGAGAAGGGCTGAAGCTGCTGAGAAACGTCAGAAGATGCCAGAAGATGGTGTATCTGAAGACAAGAAGCCATTTAAATGTTTCAGTCCCAAAGGTTCATCTCTCAAGGTAACCTCTCTGCTAACATCTATATAGTACATAAAAAGTAATGGGGGTTGCAGTCCAAACCAACAGCTAAACACCAAAGCAGTGTGGAAATACTTGAAATCAGATCTGGGACAATGCTCTGAAATAGACCCTAGCCTGAAACCTTTATCTGAAAGACTTCATTCACTAGGATAACTGATAATTAGAGATTCTTTCTAAAAATAGAGTCTAGATTGGGAGTTACGTGTTCTTGTTGATGAAAAATGTCCAGAAAGAATCTTCACCATCAAAAGAAAATTATATTGGAAACTTTGAGATGTATTACTGTCTTGATTTTCAATGTTAATTTATTATAGGAGTGCTTTGTAAACTGGAGTAGCTAAAGATCACAGATGTTCCCTCTCCCCTTCCACATCCACAATTACTTTACTTGCCAGACTACTTTGTCTTTAAGCATATTCAGCCTAATCATCATTAATTGAAACTGTCCCATATGGGTTTTCTAGTTTATGTCTAATCCCTCTAAAAATAGCATCTAGAAGTACTGGGTTGGATTTCATTTCCTTAAATCACAGGAGAAAAAAAAAACACCCTTCTGTTGCTGCAGGAGTTTCTAAGTGGTCTTCTGTGGCCTACATTGTGTTGAAAGTCAGATAAATCAATTAAATGGCCTTTCAGCATGGAAGAGGAATCCTGGCCCCATTGAAATTATTGAGAATTTTGCTCTGGTATTTAGTCCAGTTGCTTTCTCAACTTAAGCTTAAATAACAGATCTATTAATTGTTTTCAACTATCTTTTCCTTCTCTCATTTTGTGTCATTAGTCATTTAAGAATCCAAAATGTTTGTCAAAAAAGGCCCCTTAGTGGGCACTAGGAGAGAAAAGAACCAGGCAGGAGGTTATCAGGTAGGAGCTCATTGGACCCATGAGGTGGATCACCATGCAATTTAAGAACTGTACTTGTTGAGTGACAAACTGTGTTTGATCAAAATTACATTTCCACTCACAGAGAGCTACACTTTGATCTGAAGCTTCAGCTTTATAGTGGTTTGGGTCCAGTTCTAGCAAATAGAGTGTCCAAATGCTTTTGACTGGACTTGCCTTTGACTTCTCAGACACATCTGAACCTGAAATACAAGGATGGAATACATACAGCTGTAAAGGAAGTTTGCCAAGCTTCACAACTTGTTCCTATTAGGTAAATGTGGTCTTGCCATTTTGGTTGCAAAAGACCATGTCAATAACAGACACTATAAATGTACAGCTTCTTACCAGCCCTCCTGGGAGGGCTTCTTTTTCTTCTTTCTCTTTATTGAGATGCCTTTTATGACATACCTTTGGAACTTTAGTTCACAGATGACTCAGAAGAGAGGAAATTGTACTTGAAAACACATAATAGAAAGATATAGATCATAATTTTGGGGAGAGTGGGAAAAAACACTGGATTTGGCAGGAGCTTAACAGCTTTCAGAGAACTTTTGGACTGATGTTAGACTATTCTACTAACTGTATTTTTAGAGGAAAGCTGGAATTTTCCAAATGTCATTAAGCAGTCAAGGTCCAATTTTTTTATGATGATGATTGCTGCTAATTTTTACAGCTTCTTAGGTAGAAGTTTTTTGTTACAAAACCTGATACATGCAACTCTGTACACATTATTTCTCTTTCTCTGTTTCTCTTTCTGAGAAATTGGTGATACTGTCCATATTCCAATCTGGTGTCTGTGTGTGGCCAGAGTACATAGGTAATGCTGTTGAAATTCACTCCCTAAATTGTTTCTTGGCCTTTTGTGGTCAATAGCTGAGGAGAGAATAATCTCATTTTAATAACCTGATATAAAATTTTATGTCAGTTTTTAGAAGACAGTATATTTTGTTACTTTTCATTTGGACAGACTTCTCTGGCTGGTCTAACCTGTTTGGTACACAGCTTTCTCATTGCCTATTATGCACTGCCCAAGTTATCTTTCGACTTGTAAAGCATCTGGCATGTATCTTCTCCCTTGATGGAATGTATCATTTAGTTAGATGTGTCATGAGTCATGTGAGAAGTCTAAATGCACAATTGTGGGTGGGCGGTTAGAATAAATAATGAAAAAATGGAGACTCAGTATTAAAATACTGTATGATACGTGTGCACATTCTGACTTCTCTAGATCACAATCTGGCAAAGCAGCTTTTTTTTAGTTCCTGATGGGATAAGTTTTTGGGAAGAAAAAGAAGTTCTTGGGAGTGACTTTAGACGAGGAAAGTAGAGTATGCTGTTTACCAAGTGAACTACAAGAACAAAAGAAAGAAGGAAGATAAACCTAAAAGGAGTGTGGCATATTACCATGCTATAGACACTGCATTTATCTATCTGGCAGGGCATGGACTAGCACGACATGCAGACTCCAAATTGAGAGACCAAGTTGTGCAACTCATCTCCATGTATTACATGGCTCGGGGATGCACATATAAATGCACAGAAATCATACACATACATTCTTATATTTAGAAAGAACTACTGTGATTATCTAGTCTGGTCTCTAATAATTGTTTTGACTGTTAAATACAATATTCCCTTGAAACCTTCAACAGAACTACTACAGCAGCATGAAGTCCTCTGAGTGACAGCATAAGGGTTGGTCCTTTCTGAGGGGACAGTGAAGAGGAAGCATGCAAAGTAAATACAGGCCAAGTTCATCACTAACTCGGGGACAGAATCAGCTTGGATTTCTCAGGGCTGGTGGAGTCCCTGTGGGCAGTAGCAGCAGTACCAAACCTCTGCTCAGCCTCTGCCCTCTCTCTTGTTTGTTTTGTTTGTTGTTGTGGTTTTTTTTTGTTTTGCTGTTTGGTTTTTTTTTTTTATTTTATAAGGACAAGGACTGGAACAACCTCTGCTGCTCTCCCATCCCACTCAAGCTCGTGTTTTCCCTAGTTTAGTTCACACAAACGGTGAATGCTGCAGTAGAATAATCAGATCTCCTGCATAATCTTTGTTCATTTTCCTTTTTAGACAAGTTCATTCCTCATGCTTTCTTTGAGGAGTGTTATGGAGTTCTTGTATAACTATTGTCTAGGTTAATCAGAAGAGAACAGGATATTGCAATACTAAGTCTCCTCTTGGGGGTGAGGAAACTACACCACTACAGAAACACAAAAGCAGTTAGTCATTGAGGGGAGAAAGTCGTGGCAGGATGCTGGGAGCCTGGGATATCTCCTGTCTTTACAGAAAATATCTCCTCGGAAAGATGGGCTGATATAGCAACCCACTCTCTCTCCAAGGCAATGTTGACAGCTAAGCCAGAAAATAGGACTTTTTAGAGCTTGAGATTTTTTTCTTTCCTTAAAGACCTGTCTTGTCCTATCTCATTATTGCTGTCAATACCTGATGGCTGGAGCAGTGACTGGAAAGAATTCAATTCCTTACAAACATTTCTTCTTAAGATGAGCTACTCTTGCAGCAGAGGGAAGATAGAGTGATGAGAACAGGATTTGTGACATTTGTTTTCCCCCCCTCTTTGATGCTGATGGCAGCACTCTAGTCTGGCAGGTAAACTAGAGTAAATTGGTGCACTCTACAAAGGTGCTGCTGACATCAGGAAAAAGCCTAACTGTGCTTAATGAAGCAAAAGAGTGTGTGAGCCACTCAGGGAGGATAAGGAGAAGCTACTTTACTCCCAGGGACTACCACTCAAAATGGATTTCCACTAGGTTCTTCCACCTGTTGGATATGAGACACAATTATAGTACAAGGATTTCTGTTTTCTGTATGTATTTCTTATTCCCTTTCCTCCTTAAGTAATTTTTGAGAGGAGTTTATATACCAGTTTACAACACTTTCTGTCACATAATCTCTAATACACAGTTTTAAATTCCTAAGAATCATTTAATATCTTTTGTATGAAACAAGATTTACTGGAAATATCTAGATTTTTTTTTCCCCAAGTCATTGGCTCAGATTGTGTGTTGATGCATTCCTCTTCCTTTCTGTTTCTGTTCTTGGAGAATGTACAGATGGAAGACACTTTGCACACAAAGTGCATTTTGACATCCACACTTTAACTGCATTTTTAGTAGGCAAGACATTTCTTGCATAATCAACAAACAAAACATGTCTAAATAATGTTGAAAGTGGATAAATGCATACATATATCTCTGTATAGCATCTTGTTCAATTTATTCCTTGCTACCTGTATGTGCTTACCCCATTGAGTTAGTCCCTGATCAGACTCCACATGGTTCTGATTTGTGTCCATTGGTTTCATTTCATTGGACTTTATCAGCAGAAGTGTAGGTAGCCATCTAAGCATTTTGTTGGCTAATCTAAGCTTCTTTGGTAGTTAACAGAAAGAGAGAGCCACTCTCAGTGGACACGCAATCCCATCTTTCCTAGGGTGAGGTGAGCTCCTCTGGCTCTCCACTAACTATAGAGGGAACCGGAATGAGTAATTCTGACTAAATGCTTAAGTGTCAAGCAACTGAAGTGGGGTGAGAGAAATGCAGCCTGAGGGCCTGTGTTCTTTCTCTCTGGTCATAATTTAATTAAAGGCCAGCAGGTTGACTTTTTGGAGTATGTGTGTGTGCTCTGTCAGAGGCTTTGTAAAGTATTCCATGGTGACAAAACAGTCTAAGCTATTTAACAAGGTTCTGTTAAAATGAATGCAGCAAAAAGATTAATTTTATTTTCTGGTCTTAAATGGAGGAAATATCTTGCATTTTGTGCTAACCACCTTGTTTTGCCTATTTCTCTTACAGATCTATTTTGTAATACTGTTTACTGTATGTTCCAAACATTTTAAATTCTTTGCATGGAGTTTGTGTGGTGTGCAGTGGATAAATGACCTTTAGATGTTGCTGTGCTGTCTAAATGTATTTGACCTATATGTCAAATGCACATGTGTATACAAGTGTATTTGCTCTAAGCGTATACAGTATATGCTTCTGTTCCGTGCATACTGTGTTTTGAGGAAGATCCTTTAGAACAAGTTCTCATATAAATATGCAGAAAATGTGTTATCCAGCCACACAAGGCACCTACTTCCTTGGGAAGAGGACCATGTTCAGCTCTGAGGGTTGCTTCCTGACTCTGCTTTCCTGTTTAACATACTTTCTGGTTTGCTTCTTCACTCTCCTGTTCAGAAGAATTCCTGACTTATTTCTGATACCACAGCGGGTGTTCTGAGAACTGCTGTTTCCAGTCAGTAAAGAATGACCACATGTGTTTTTGCTACAACCCCAAGAATATATGTCCCTCTTCACCCCAACCTATCGCTCTCTTCCACCAGTGACTACTAAAGCCAGTTTTCCTGCTGTGGAGAAGCATCTCTACTTCCTGAATGTAGGAAGACAATAAAGAGGCTACTGTTAGCACCTTGTAAGATCTATCCCTTTTTTTAAGAATTCAAGTACAATCTCAAGTTCATCTGAACTAGAAGATGCTATAAGTTAAGTATTAGATGGTTACCTTGAGTCCTGGTTCTTTGAGATAGTCCATGCTGTTAGTCCTTGCTGCCAGCCCAGGTTTCACTGATAGAGTCTGGTAATTACCTGTTCATGCAGAGCAGGGGAGAAACCAGCATCTGTGGTTGATTCAACTCATCATTTTGATGCATTCTTGGTTATGACCCAGAAATCAGCTTTGTGGGAAACTTTTCCTACTATACCATAACAGTCGAGAAGAGGTGACGTGTTTTAAGTGACCATTCTCTTTAGTCACTTTTAATCGACCAATCTACTCGCTCGTTTCATGGCAATGCCGGCTGTATTTCCTCTGGGTGAAACTGGGTTGTGAACTGTTCATATTGCCAGAGGAAGAGCCGCAGCTCCGGACACGTGTGGGTGTGCGTGGCTCTGCAGCTCCTGCCTGGTGCATTGCTGCCACCTGGAGACAACAGAGCGGTGAAACAGTTGTAAGATAGCCGAGCAAAGCCCACCTTTCCACTCAGGACTGTATTTGTCGTATATTGCCAACTAAAGCTGTTAATGTTAAATGACTCTGTAATTTGTACATATATTTATATTTTAGAGCTTTAGAGGTGCCTTTGAGCTGGATTGATGCTAGCTGGAGTTCCTCCAGTGAGCTTGTTTGGCAGTTCTGCACCAAAGTGCAGCCACTTCGCAGCAAGTTTTTGCTTGTATGGGCTTGAGAAATAAAACATATGTGCCCTTTAATGGGATTGCTGTGGGATTTAGTATTCTTGTACAGCTTGGATGCTAAAGGGCACCGAGGAGAACTATTTCAAGGAATGGCTGTCCTTGCCTTATTTTAAAGGCATGAATGCAACAGCAGTCACTGTTAAAGTAACTTGAAAATGGACAACCCATACTGAGACCAAGGAATTCCCAGGAATCCAGCCAGGCTGATTAGTAGTAATTTCTATCTCCTGGAGCTGTTTGTGTATATTTTACTCTGAAGTGAAACTGTAGAGCCCAGGACAAGAAGTGGAACAATGCAACATGGACGAGACTTGACGAAGTTTGATTAAAGCATTTTTTGACCCAGAATGCAAATAGACCCTCCTCTATCATGAAATGTTTTAAAACTATATTCAGGGATGAAGTCTTTCTGTTTTGAAATTATTGAGAGATTTGGCATAAATCTTATGATTCTCTTT